GCTAGAAGGTTCTAAAAATGAAATTCTTATTTGCAAGAATCAACTAATCTTTATTTATCAGGTTCATGTGGTTGTGGATGCTTTAATTAATTGCAAATTTTCAGCCTAGTGGCTCTTAATCATGTGGGTGCTTACACTGTATAAAATATAAAGTATTTCAAAATTGAAAATATTCATGWATTGTCGGGGAAGTTAAATCAAAAAAAGTACTTGTATTTGAGCCATAAAGACACGTGTATGCATTTCTTAACAGTGCACAAACTGAGTACATTTTGCCTATGGGACTAAGACCTATTTTAAGATTTCGCTTAAAATCAAGGAAAGTAAAAAAATTTATGATGTCTCCAAATACCCACTCCACTGCAACTCGCACTGAGCTCATTGATTTGTTGAAGGCATCTTGATTTGGTGTTATGTTAGCAGATCTGTAGGGAGCCATCAAATGCACTCTTAATGGGTATGCAGGATCCCCATATATGCATAATGGGGCCCCTGCAGTACTCAAGGAATATATTGGCAGCTGCTCCAGAACCCCCGACATTCGAAGCATGGATGCATCATGCCTTCTTCCTTCTGTATAAAAAAGTACAAAAAATATTAAACTACAATAATAATGAATTATAATCATAAATTGTATCAATGTTGAACATTTCTGTATTTTTATTCATGGTCATGAAAACTTACTTAATAAATCTGGATTACCCTTATAATAGAATCCCAGCAGCTGACATTTTATTATTGATTAGAATTTATTGAAACTAATCCATTAATTCATTAGTGTGAAATCATATTGGCATAACAAACATTTTTTTCATAAATATTATTAAATTCTTTACATCTATTTGAGTGTTGTCAAAGCAAAAAGGCCCTAAAGAACACGCCCGCCACCAGTGGTGCCTAGCGTAGAGACTCGAGAGCAAAAGGGACCTTAACAGCTTAAGTACCTTTTACAATAACATCGCTCATTTATTTTTATTATTTTTTTAGTTTTATTATCATATATCATTTTATACAAATCAACCAATTTACAAGCAATAAATATAATACATAAAAATGATGAAGAATATATATAATAATATGTGTTTTTTTTACAGATGTTAAAAAACAATTATTTGAAGAGAGAATATGGAATATAAATGAAATCAATATTCAACTTACCAACTGGTCCGAAAAGATTGGCTATCATGCCATCTGGGGTAGCTATCGACTGAAACTTAATTCCATGCACCCTTTTCAGCCCATTATACATCACCCTTTGATTTTCCCCAGGTCGACTGATTGGACGGACAGTGCCATCCACAAAACCCCAACAGTTGTCCAGAGCACCACCTTTATCGTGGATGGCTTGAGCGTAACGTTCAAGTTTTCCTCGCTGTAGCCAAGGCTGATTTAGGTCAGTGAGGAGATGACTGAAGTTTGAAGAGATGTGGTCAGTTACTTCAGCGAGAATTAGACTCATCTCCGGAACTGAACGTCCAAATCGCGGAATCATGTCACTTAGACGACAAGGATAAGCGAACCGCTTTAACAACAACAAAAGCCCCTCTGTACCAGACGCTACAGTGCCGTTGTCACATATAAATCTTTCAGGAATTTGTAGAGCATCTTGTAGTAGGTCTATTTCTGACAGGTTAAAACGAAATTCTGTTTTAAACTCTCCTGTAGAAATGTCATTGAGTTGATGTTCAATCCTGTCGTATTTCCAGTAGGGATAAGTAGTGTTTTTTCGTGTCAACTCTTGGAACATCATCAAAACATCTTCTTCGTCCAGAGTATCATCATCATATAACATTATTGCGGTAGAAAGAATACTTTTTTTTGGAAAACATAGCTAATTGAAGAAGGAAATGCCAAAATACGAATGAAAAAGTCGGTGTTTACAATCTAAAGTTGCAATCACGCGAGAACGATGACGAGTACGAGAAACATAGTGCCAATCCTCGCGCGGCCAAAACTCGTACTCGTTCTCGTTCTCGTTCTCGTATCTAAAGGTCTCTAATAACTACATAGTCGGATTGTACATGCGAAAGGCGAGTAAATGGAGAGATCGAAAATCAATCTAATCTAATCGACCAACTCATCGATATAAATGCTTACAATTTCTTCCACCTGCCCCGAACTTAAACTATACGTATCTTACAATTTTTTTTAATTTCTTGTTGAACGCTGTGTCATTTCTGCAAATGAAATTGTTAATTTGATTGAAAACATATTAATAATAGCCGGTGTTTAATTAAATCAAAATCTTTATAAATCTGTACTCTTTAATTTACAATTCTTAGTGCGCTTTCCATTTGTCAGAACTGGCTGGCCAGACCCAGAGAAAATSTCATTATAYATCATTYCCATTTAGTTAGGAAATTCAAATTTTCAAATTCTATCCATTATATTCTACAGAAAACCTCGAAATGACTGAAAAATGTTGACAAAAAGCATTATATACCTCTAAATAGAGTGGACTGGCCGGCCAGTTCTGCCTAAATGCGGAAAGCACCCTTAATTTACGATGTTGCTTTTTAGTTGCTCATAATGGTTTATTTCTATAGAAATTTAGAACAAAACTGACTTTATATGTAATACAACAGAACTGTCTATAGACTATATGCTATTCTTGGCGTAAAAGTTACGTCATCACCGCCATGTTGAATGAAGACCACAAAGCATTCCTTATTAGTTTCTCTTGATTATGTATTTCTCAGGGGATTCATGGTCATGTGATTCACACCAACAATATATATTGATCATTTTAACACATTCCCATGAGATTCAAAAGATAAAAAACCGGCGGCCATGTTGGTGGAATGAACAATAGATACTGATGAGAAATCCTTTGTTGAAGTTTCTCCAAGATGGCCGCTGTGACGTAACCTGCAAACGAAGAATATTGCCGCGCCATACCTGGGCATACGGGGGGTTTAAAAATACCACCAAATCTAAAAAAAAAGAAAATAATATTGCTCAGCTAGTTCTTCTTGCACTCTAGTCACCATATATTATATTTATCTTCCCTTTTCAGTCCCAATGTCTGCACATATTCACGTCCTGAAACCATCCAACAGAAAGTCAGTGAATTGCGGTCATACAGACGAGCTGTTCCAGTGGTTATCAATTCATGTAATGTCGCTTGTGTACGATATGTTCCAAGGTAAATAGAAACAAAATACGAGAAAAAAAGCTTTCAACGTACATCGTCTCGGGTATATAAATGCCGATTTAGACGGTACAACTTTTGCCTACAACTATCGCATGCAACATGCCTAAGTCATCATTACAACATGACTACAACTGTCTTAGAGATCGATTAAAAACAATTGTTTGATAACCCTATGACAGTTGTAGCTATGTTGGATTGATGACTTAGACATGTTGTATGGATAGTTTTAGGTAAAAGTTGCACAGTCTAGATCGGCCTTAAAGGCCCAAGTTCAACCAAGAACCTTTGCGTTCATTTCTTTTCTTTTCCAAATGATCTCTTGTTGAAAGGTGTTTTCTGATTGACTCAAAATCAAAGATGGCGAATTTCCCAGTTTTCGTATGTGAGAAAGTCGCGCAAAGGTTCTTGGCTGCATGTGAGCCTTTAAGCGACCACTTGGTCATTAAGCCGTTGTGCATCCAAGAACCATTGCGATCGTTTCTTTTGTTTTACAAATGATATCTTGTTGTTTTCTGATTGGTTCAAAATCAAAGATGGCGAATTTTCGTATTTGAGAAAGTCGCGCAAGGGCTCTTGGATACATGTGGGTCTTTAAAACCTTAAAACTTTTAATTTTCTTTAATATTGACTTGAGTGTTAAAAGTAGGGAGGGGAGTGTAGGGAGGGGAGTGTAGGGAGGGGAGTGTAGGGAGAGGAGTGTAGGGCCATGTTGTCCGTAGAAAATTAACAAGATGTGTTAAGTTGGAGTATCTGTTTATCTTGTCCAAATGTATATTGTTCATGATTGTAGATCAAAAATTCGAGTAAAGCATTTTTTACAGCTTTTTGTTTATCTCCACAGGACATTCTACTTTATTTCATATCGTAGCGTTAACCGAGTTATAAGTCGAACCGTTTACGACTGTTGTACAGGTTGGTCACGTGACCCTACTGGTGGACCTGGCTGTCCTATTCGTAAGTACCTATAGTGCACGGGCATAAAATCTTCCCTGATACAATTGCCCTGTGGCACAATGACGTCACTATATATTTACATTGTGGATAGATGTTCAGAAAGACTCGAAATTTAGACCTATTAACATTCTTTCCGAAAGTGGGACTTAAATGTATCGAGTTTAATTTGATGTACATCATTTATCAATGATAGCTCACCTACATTATACTTTATATCAGCACTCACTCTGATTCCGTCTGCCGACCATAATCCTTAGCGTTAAAACAGAATTTTTTGGGTGACATAATTATGCTATAGGGCAATTTATTGATTTATGTATGTATTTCAGCCAATCAGCCGCGGCGTTTGTGTAGTGTCAAGAATGGAGGTTGTCAGCAGATTTGCAGCTCTGACCAAAATATAGTTAGTTGCGCATGTCACCGGGGGTTTAGACTATCCGCTGATCGTTCTACGTGTTTAGGTAAGTCAGAAAGAAGAAAGTGTAGGATCAACGGAATATGTAATTTGTGACAAACGAGGAACGAGTTTGGGATAAATTAATATTTTGCCGGCACGCCCCCTTATGCACGTGCGATTGCAGCGTGTGTCCTTAGGGAGAACAGNTCACCATATATTATATTTATCTTCCCTTTGCAGTCCCAATGTCTGTACATATTCACGTCCTGAAACCATCCAACAGAAGGTCAGTGAATTGCGGTCATACAGACGAGCTGTTCCAGTGGTTATCAATTCATGTAATGTCGCTTGTGTACGATATGTTCCAAGGTAAATACAAACAAAATACGAGAAACAAAGCTTCCAACTTACATCGCATCGCAGGCCGTAGGCTTCCGAACCCCCCCACAAGCTGAAAAGATTCGGTGTTTCTCCTTTTTTATTGCTCTATTTTAGAATTCTTTTGTTATGAACTGCTCAAACTAGCAGCCACATACTATACCCGTACATTGAACTAATTTAGTTAAACATTTAAACATACGGACCTGCATCGTGCCATTAAATAAGTCCTTTTAATTTTCCGAAAGCCAAATGGGCTATCAGTTCGCAGTCTAAGGCCGAGAGCTCTAATAGTCTCCTTCACGGTTACCTGCGCCATTTTGAAAGGTAGCCGTGCCTTTACATCGAAGCGAGACAACCGTTAAGCAGCAATGATAGATACCTGTGAATAATTGTCTGTAGGTGTTCAAGAAGGTTTCTATCATTACACGCTCAACGTTCGTCTCGCTTCGGTGCAAAGGCACGGTTACCTTTCAAGATGGCGCAGGGAACTGTGAAGACTATTGATTTATCATTACTAGCTAGATCTAAAAATCTATAGTATAGCATTTTTACAGCTTTTTGTTTATCTCCACAGGACATTCTACTTTATTTCATATCGTAGCGTTAACCGTGTTATAAGTCGAACCGTTTACGACTGTTGTACAGGTTGGTCACGTGACCCTACTGGTGGACCTGGCTGTTTTATTCGTAAGTACCTATAGTGCACGGGCTTAAAATCTTCCTTGATACAATTGCCCTGTGGCACAATGACGTCACTATATATTTACATTGTAGATAGATGTTCAGAAAGACTCGAAATTTGGACCTATTAACATTCTTTCCGAAAGTAGAACTTAAATGTATCGAGTTTAATTTGAAGTATACATCATTTAAGTACATCATATGCAGTCACTCTGATTCCGCCTGCCGACCATAATCCTTAGCGTTAAAACAATAGAATGTTTTGATGTGACATAATTATGCTATAGGGCAATTTATTGATTTATGTATGTATTTCAGCCAATCAGCCGCGGCGTTTGTGTAGTGTCAAGAATGGAGGTTGTCAGCAGATTTGCAGCTCTGACCAAAATATAGTTAGTTGCGCATGTCACCGGGGGTTTANTTAATATCAAAGAAATACAAAAATGCATAAAAATGTCACATTTTGCGGTGTTCCCTTTGTAAGTCGAATTTTTAAGAATTTTAATGATAATCACTATTATGTATTTAATAGTTTGCCCTCATTTTGTGAATAGATATCAATGAATGTCTTGTACGAAACGGTGGGTGTCCGTCGAAGTGTATCAATACTCTAGGTTCATTTAGGTAAGTGCTGGTTCTCTGGCGGGCTATATTTGGTCCGCTTACGTCACACCATGTTTACGGCTTTACGAAATACAAAGCAAGAGTTTGTTAATAGTCTCCTTCACGGTTATCTGCGCCATCTTGAAAGGTAGTCGTGCCTTGACATCGAAACGAGACAACCGTTGAGCGCAAAATGATAGAAACCTGTGAATAATTGTCTTTAGGTGTGAAAAAAGGTTTCTATCATTGCATGCTCAAAGGTCGTCTCGTTTCGGTGTAAAGGCACGGCTACCTTTCAAGATGGCGCAGGGAAACGTGAGAGAGAGAATGCTTGTCATAAAATGCGTGATCAAAACTTGAAAACTGCTTCTTTTTGCGTGGAAAATAAAACTCAATGAAATATTGATAAGTGAGTGCAACTCTCGAGGTTGCCTTTGACAACTCTTTGGAATGACGTTTGTTAGGTCAAAATTTCGTGGTCGCTCGAGAGTAAATAGAGAACTTCAGATTTGACAACGAGTACTAGATTGAGTACGAGTGCGAGTTTTCAAACCAGCTTTTATTGTGCTGTCCATATTGTATTTCATATTATATTCACTTCGTGTCTTTATTTCTTTGATGTTTCAATCTATTCACAGGAAAGCCATTCATGATTAATAGCACATTCGCTACGCTCGTGGTTCCACTTGAGTTTGGATCATTTTCTGACGCCATTTTCATTGTCGATAAGCGTACAGACCATAGAAAAGCGATTTCAATTTGTTAATTCTAAAACTCGTACTCAATCTCTTACTCGTTGTCAAATGTGAAGTTCCCTATTAATAGCAAGAGAGACGTGGAGAAACTCTTCTGAATGCTCTAATACTTATATCTACAGATGCGCATGCTCTGTTGGCTACAGGAATATTCTGTCCTTCAATCAATGTATCGACATTGACGAATGTAGAGAGGTACGAATCACGTGACATTTGCAAATTATAAATATATACCGCTGACCAAGTTCACTTCGCAGGGAACATCAGGCTGCTCTCAAGGATGCGTGAACACGAAGGGTTCATTTCATTGTTTTTGTCGAACTGGTTTTTGGCTCCAAAGTGACAAGAAAAGCTGTAAAGGTTTGTCTTCTTCAGCTTTTTCAAAAACGTTGAATACTGTATAGTGCATTTCAAGACCAATGTATTGTTGCCATTAAACTCTCCATTTGCTACGTTGAAAAATGAAAATTCTAATGAATTTAGATTGAACGGCTTTCCATATAAGTTCCATATAAGTTCTAAACTGATATAGCCACTCTGATACCAAGAAAATACTTTGAAGAATTTGACGACCTATTGAAATATTTGACTTTTGATTTTGTAGAAATCAACAACAAAAGAAGACGAATAATACAACATGCATCTCAAGTGAAAGCATTTGATATTCACATCAAACCCATACAAGGCTTGCAATCGGTTCAAGGTTAGTACGATACCTAAATATATGCTAAGTTGTCTGAAGAATCTTCACTCGAAGCGCAATTTGTGCATGTATTTTCCTCAAGTACACTGACCTCTCACTGACAGTAAAAAAATTTGGTTTGGCTACCTTTTTAATTTTCCATATCCTGTAATCTATTTTGGCCTCAATAATACTGTACTCATCTAAACCTCCCTTTTGATTGCTACCTTAGTACTGCATCTCTGTTATTAGGTTCAGCTTTGTTCTATTGTTTGGAAGAGAATTAATTGTTTGTCCATTCTTTCCTCAACCAATCACGAGATTCGTTGCGATCGGTGCAGACTGTCCATTGTGCCTTGGCACCAGTATATAATTTATTGGATAACTTATATCTAAACTGTCTCTCCCTCTCCATCGCAATTCACATAGCGCCTCCACTGTGGTCTAGGTTCCCTTTCAATTTCCCCACTCCTTTTGTATGGCCCTAATTCTTTCTCGATTGTTCGCTTGCATATCTCTCTTGGTCTCCCTCTTCATTTCTCTTTCCGCCATCCTGGTGTCCACACTTGCTCTTTTGTTTTTACCCTGACGCATGTTTTTACCATTCCCATAGTCTCCTCTTAACTTGAGTCATGATGTCGCATTGACCCACCGTTCATATAGTGCTTGATTAATCTAAAATGGTTCATGTTGTTAATTCAATAGCTTGTCCATACGGTTATATTGGTCCAGGATGTCGAATCACTTGTGACGACTGCCAGCATGGAGCTCGGTGTGACATCAGAGAAGGAAGGTGTCTCTGTCCAACTGGTTGGACCGGTTTGACTTGTAATATATGTAAGTCCTACGAACAGGTTTAAGCAGACTATAGTAATTAATGGATGAAAGATTAGACCCGTACGTTTCCCAAATCGAATGCTACGTGCAAAGTGAATCTCGATTCGATGCTAAGTGAATGTCGATTCGATGCTAAGTGAATCTCGATTCGACCATAGTTTGTATAGGGAAATGGTTAAGAAGTCTTAGAACTTGTTGTAGATTTGGAATTGTACACTTTTTCCAAGCGCGACCGTGCAAAACCTTTCGTTTAACAACAACAGAGCGAAAATTTTAATTTCTTATTCTGGCAAAATGCACAAAAGATTAACCAATATTGAAATATTTCATTTCATAATCTCATAGAGGGTTTTTATGTTCACTCATTTTGCAATTTCCATCGTTCGTAAGAAAACAAGTTATGCACGGTCTTGACTGATTCAACCTCAAAATACATACAAAAGATGTACAAAACTTAAGTACAACAAAAGGTTTCCAAACAATTCCCCTCTATTAACTATGATTCGACACGAGGTTTCAATGATTCTATCGGCTTTTACTTGGGACAGACAATATATTTGTAGCACGTCGTCCTATAATCTCAAGCCATGTATCAATCTTTCTTGCTCTTCTTAGCGTGTGACTCAGAGCAGCTCGGACCAGATTGTCGGCTGAGGTGCGCATGCGTGAATGGAGGCAGCTGTGATCATCAAACTGGTTTATGTACATGTCCGCCAGGTTATCATGGGAGGAATTGTGAAGAAGGTACGCAAAAGTCTCCTTCACGGTTCCCTACGCCATCTTGAAATGTAGCCGTGCCTTTACATCGAAGCGAGACAACCGTTGAGCGTGCAATGATAGAAACCTGTGAATAATTGTCTGTAGGTGTTCAAGAAGGTTTCTATCATTGCACACTCAACGGTTGTCTCGCTTCGATGCAAAGGCACGGCTACCTTTCAAGATGGCGCAGGTAACCGTGAAGGGGACTATTTCGTCGTTATGCTACGACATGTTGACACAGTTACTTGGACGAAAATTGCCAAACACTAGAAAAGACTTGGAAATC